TAGCACGAAGCACGGATCCCATGAACCAATCGGCGATGCACGTAGCCCCGAAACCAAACCCAGCACGGAGTAGCACAAATGCACCCAATGGAACCAAGTAGCACGAAAGTGGCACCAATGCATGAACCAAACACGACCAAGCACGAAGTACCAAGCACTGAGAGAAAGAAAGGGAGAGGGGGAGAGAGAGGGGGGGGAGAGAGAGAGAGAGGGAGAGGGAGATCCAGAGAGAGAGAGAGAGAGTTACGGTAGGCAGGTTGCACGGATCGTGTAGGCTGTAGGTAGGTCGCCTAGGTCGCGTAGGCAAGTCAGTAGGTCGCATAGGCAAGACCGTAGGGCACAAAGTACCAAGAACGACGTACGTAGGGCAGCCGTTGCGTGAAGTCGGACAGCCATCGACCCAGCGGGCCGTTCGACGCGAACAGGGCCATGGCGCTGCCCCGCAACGGGCCCTCTTCTCAACGGGCGTGCCGATCCGGGCCGACGGCCCGGACTTCCGCGTGATCTTAAGACTTAATGATCACGCGTCGATCAAGGCTGTCCGGCAAAGCGGACGGTCTGGATCACCGCGCGATCTTAGTCTTTAAAGTCTTAAAGTCTTAAGATCGCAGAGAAATCCGGGCTGTCGGCCGGTAGGCCGCGGGCGGCCCGGATCGGCCAAATGTTGCGCGCCAAACAGCAATTTCTATAAGTGTAGGGATCGTTGTGGCCCGATGGACCATGGATAAGATATTAAACTGATCAGAACAGATACTACACTTGATCTTAGCCAAAAGGCCGAGAAAGGTATACTCCTGTTAATTTTCCTTCAGATCTTCAGTTTATATTTTCTGTTCTCTTAATGATGCTCATAATCATTCGTATACATTTACTGGTAGTACTCAAGACGTGGAGGAAGGAAAGGGGTAGCTGGTGGTTGTTCGTTTGGCAAGGATGAAGGAGATCCAACTGCGGTTGCAGCAGGTCGATTCCCCACGCTGCATGTGGGACATGCTAAGAGAGGATGTGGCGGATGATGGCAGTAGAGACACATACTTCCGACGAAAGCTTCGTGGAAACATTGACAACACATGGGATGTTGCTGACATGCCAGCATGAAAGCAGGCTGATATTCGCAGCTATTTAAGCATGGCATGTCAAGTCCACAATGGCATGCAGTGCAAGTAATAAGGAGGAGGGGGTGGGGATGATTGCAAGACAACGGGTAACAATTTTCGTGGCAGAGGCTGGCAGTGACCATCATAGTGTTTGGAGCAGAGACCATGCCATGCACATGCTAACCGTACCATAGTTGTGTGGAGACACAATGACATGTCACAGCCACCATCCTCTGCAGAGGGCCCTTCACTATTTGTGGTAGAATCCGTCCAATATACACAGGGAAGGAGTGCTGCGTGGCCATGTACAGGGGAAGGGGGGAAGTTTAGTTGGATTGCTCTCCAGAGGCTATAGCTCTTGCGAGTGCACATCCACATACTGTTTCAGATGGATCAGCCTGACCAAGTGGGATTCTACCCCTTGGTGATAGAAAGAGTTAATATCTCCCACCGTGTGTAGTACTGTGTACCCTACTGCCATTGTCCCATAGGGTCCATGAATGGCCCCCAAAGGTAACAGCACTGAAATGACCTGCACAATGCAGGATGTAGGCACAATTTGGGCACAAATATTCGGTTCCATGTCTGGCATGTAATTCTGTGGAGCGGGCCGGAGATGCAGTGTTCTTCCCATAAATGTTCTACTGTCATCCTTTGGGCAGACAGCACCATGCTCTTCCTCTATCCAGCGGACAATGTCTACAAAATCAGAAACATAGGGGTTACAATTGTAAGCGAGGAGGCAAACATTAGTGGCATAATACGCACAGTGGCCTCGCTGTAGCACTATGAGATCATCTGATTCTGCAGATAGCGCAGCATGGGGAGGTTCATTTAGGTCTGCAGATTGCAGGGTTGAGGGAGGTTCATGGGGAGGTTCATTTAGTTCTGCAGATTGCAGGGTTGAGGGAGGTTCATTCAGGTCTTGACTGTTTATCTCAGTTTCCTCTGACTGAATTAACTCCATTGGCTCTATCATGCGCTCTGGAGAGTGATCATCTCCAGTCGGGGATTCCATCAAGTGATCAGAAGGTGGATCATTGTTAGCTGGAGCGGGGGAGCAATCGGGGCCAGGTGGATGAGAAGTGGGTGGATCAGATGGCTCCAACCAATGCTTTCAAGCGAGACATCGAAAGATGTCATGACGCCAAGAAGCGGAAGCTGATCAGCCCCGCAGTTGTGTTCAGAGTGGCCGCTAGTTATGCAAATGCTGCACAGGTGGCTGCACCTTCTGTCTGGTGCACACACAAGTTTGCAGCACTGTAAAAATCATCACCACATTCTGGGCATCGGACTCGGTATTCCTGGCTTGTGTGTATTGAGAGCAACGGCGTCATTCCATACGTTTGCCAGCATAGCGTCAGAGTAGATCTCTGGCCCCCACCAGGGGGGGCGTTGATCATGCTGTCGAAGTTCAGACGGGGCTGCTGTCTAGGAGGTGGCAGTGGAGATGGGGAACATCTCCGCTGAAGAGTCTGTGACAGCCGAACTGACCATGAATGCCTCCGCCGATGAGGTCTCTGTGACGGCTGATCTGACGATGAATGCGCTGAGGATGAGGATAATGATGAAAGGGAGGCATGCAAGGGGGAGGAGGAGGCAGAGGAGGAAGAGGGAGAAGAGGAGGAGGAGGAAGAGGAGGCAGTTGACCGAGGGGATGACGTAGTAGGTGGTGGTGGTGGTGGAGTGAGGAGGAGGAAGCATGGGCACACTTTGGCTTGTGCGTTTGTAATAATACCAGCCCCCATGGCAGTGCACCTACCCTGCTCAATGCTTCAACAAGCAACATAGTATCCTGCATGCATGTGGCTCAGAGAGAGAGAGAGAGAGAGAGAGAGAGAGAGAGAGAGAGAGAGAGAGAGAGAGAGAGAGAGAGAGAG